TGATCTCTTGACCTCGTGATCCACCCGCCTGGGCCTACCAAAGTGCTGGATTACAGGCTTGAGCCACCGCGCCCGGCCCCTTTAGCATTTCTTTAAGGACAGGTCTGGTGTTGAAATTCCTCAGCTTTTGTCAGGGAAACCTTTATTTATCTTCTACCTTGGGGAGTTTGACTATTAAATGCCTTAAGTAGTCTTTTGGTTAAATCTGCTTGGTGTTCTATAACTTTCTTGTACTTGGATATTGATATCTTTCTTTCTCTAAGTTTGGGGAATTCTCAGTTATTATCCCTTTGAATAAACTTTCTACCCTGATCTCCTTCTCCAGCTCCTAAGGTCAATAACTCTTAGATTTGCCCTTTTGAGGCTATTTTCTAGATCCTGTAGGCATGCTTCATTGTTTTTGTTTTTATTTATTTATTTTTTTTGAGATTGAGTTTCACTTGTTACCCAGGCTGGAGTGCAATGGAGTGATCTCGGCTCACCACAACCTCTGCATCCTGGGTTCAGGCAATCCTCCTGCCTCAGCCTCCTGAGTAGCTGTGATTACAGGTGCATGCCACCATGGCCAGCTAATTTTTTGTATTTTTAGTAGAGACAGGGTTTCACCATGTTGACCAGGATGGTCTCGATCTCTTGACCTCGTGATCCACCTGCCTCGGCCTCCCAAAGCGCTGGGATTACAGGCTTGAACCACCGCGCCCGGCCTGTTTTTTATTCCTTCTTGTCTCCTCTGTGTATTTTCTTTTTCTATTATTATTTTTTGAGTTGGAGTTTCACTCTTGTTGTCCAGGCTGAAGTGCGATGGCGTGATTTCTGCTCACCACAACCTCTGCCTCCCAGGTTTAAGCAATTCTCCTGTCTCAGCCTTCCAAGTAGCTGGGATTACAGGCATGTGCCACCATGCCCAGCTAATTTTGTATTTTTAGTTGAGACAGGTTTTCTCCATGTTGGTCAGGCTGGTCTTGAACTCCTGACCTCAGGTGATCTGCCCACCTCAGCCTCCCAAAGTGCTGGGATTACAGGCTTGAGCCACTGCGTCCAGCCTGCCCATGTATTTTCAAATAGCTGTTCTCAGGCTCACTAATTCTTTCTTCTGCTTGAACAATTCTGCTATTACAAGACTCTGGGCTGGGTGTGGTGCCTCACACCTCTAATCCCAGAACTTTGAGAGGCTGAGGCAGATAGATCACTTGAGCCCAGGAGTTCAAGACTAGCCTGGACGACACAGCAAAACCCTATCTCTCCAAAAAAATTCAAGCCACGCATAGTGGTGTACACCTTTAGTCTTAGCTACTCCAGGGACTGAGGTTGGGAGGGTTGCGTAAACCTGTGAGGTTGTTGAGGCTGCAGTAAGCTGACATCATGTCACTGCACTCCACCCTGGGTAACAGAGTGTGACCTCATCTCCAAAAAAAAAAAAAAAAAAGATTCTGATGCATTCTTCAGTATGCTAATTCCATTTTTCAGCTCCAGAATTTCTGCTTCTTTTTAATTATTTCAATTTATTTGTTGTTTATCTGATAGAATTCTGAATTCCTTCTTTCTGTTATCTTGAATTTCTTTGAGTTTCTTCAACATGGCTATTTTGCATTCTCTGTCTGAAAGTTCATATATTTCTGTTCCTCCAGAATTGGTCTCTAGTGGTTTCTTTAGTTCATGTGGTTAAGTTATGTTTTCCTGGATGGTACTGATGCTAGTAGATGTTCTTTAGTGTCTGGGCATTGAAGAGTTGGGTATTATCACAGTCTTCACTGTCTGGGCTTGTTTGTATTCGTCCTTCTTGGGAAGGCTTTCCAGATATTTCAAAGGACTTCAGTGCTGTGATCTAAGCTGTATCTGCTTTAGGGGGTATCCCAAGCCCAGTAATGCTGTGTTCCTGCAGACTTGTAGAGGTACCATCTTGGTGTTCTTGGATAAGATCCAAGGGAATTCCATGGATTTCCAGGCAGAAACTCTTGTTTTCTTCCCTTACATCCCTTAAATACGCAAAATCTCTCTCTCTCTCTGTGCTGAGCTGCCTGGAGCTGGTTGGGAGGAGGGGGGATTTACTCCAAACCCAGTAACACTGTAGTTCTTTGAAGTTCTTGCAGACTCTTACCACCTTGATGGTCAAGGACAGCATCTGGGAGAAATTCTCTGGATTACCAGAAACTCTTGTTCTCTTATCTTACTTTCGCCCCAATGAATGGAATTTCTCTCTGTCCTGAGCCACATAAAGCTGGGAGTGGAGTGACAGAAGTATCCCTGTGGCCACCACCACTATGACTGCACTGGGTTAGTGCTGAAGCCAGCATAGCATTGGGTCTCACCCAAGACCTGCTGTAACCACTCCCTGGCTACTGCTTACGTTCACTCAAGGCCCTGGAGCTCTACAATTAGCAGGTGGCAAAGCTAGCCAAGTGTGTGTCTTTCCATTGAACTTGCCCATTCAAGGTGGCAAGTTCCCCCAGGCCCTAGGTAGATCCAGATGTACTGTCCAGTAATCAAGGACTAGAGTAAAAAATGTTAGAAGTCTACCTGGTATTCTATTGTACTGCAGCTGAGCTGGCTCTCAAACCATAAGACACAGTCCTTCCTACTCTTCCTTTTCCTTTCCATAGGGAGACTAGCCTCACTCTGTAGCCACCACCACCACAAGCCATGGGAAGTACTTGCCAGACTACCACCAATGTTTCCTTAAGGCCTAGGGGCTCTCAAATCAGTGTGTGGTGAATGCTGTCTGGCCAGAGACTCACCCGGCATGGCAGTGGGCTCTACTCTGGACCAGGGCAGGTCAGAAATGCCATTTAAGAGTCAAGACCTGGAATCAGGAACCCCAAGGGCCCACTTGGTGCTCTACCCCTCTGTGGCCATGCTGGCACTTGAAGCTAGCAAGTCTCAGAGGATCATATCCAAGGTCCACAACGTAGTACCTGGGTATATCTGCTGGTTATTTAGGGCCCAAGGGCTCTTCAATTAGAAGGTGATGAATACTGCCAGGACTAAGTCCTTCTCAGGGGTCTTATCCTATCTGGCAGTTTATCTGCTCTTGGTCAGGACCTCCTAGTCCATCACACACATCTGAATAACTTCCAGTATGAAAGCAGTGAAGAAGGATCAACAGGCCCTTTCATCCAGAATCCCCTTTATGACTATATACATTTTTTAATGTCTAACTCATTGATATGGTTTGGCTCTGTGTCCCCACCCAAATCTCATCTTGAATTGTACTCCGATAATTCCCACGTGTTGTGAGAGGGACCCAGTGGGAAATCACTGAATCATGGGTGTGGTTTTTCCCATACTGTTCTCATAGTAGTGAATAAGTCTCACGAAATCTCATGGTTTTATAAGGAGAAACCCCTTTCGCTCGCCTCTCGTTGCCTGCTGCCATTCACATAAGATGTGACTTGCTCCTCCTTGCCTTCTGCCATGATTGTGAGGCCTCCTCAGCCATGAGGAACTGTAAGCCAAATAAACCTTTCTTTAATAAATTGCTGAGTCTTGGGTATGTCTTTATCAGCAGTGTGTAAATGGACTAATATACTAAGCATTCAAGGTTTACACAGCAATCAATATGTGTGTCTGACATACCTTTACCTGTTTACAGGACCTTACTACAGGTCCTGATTTAGCCAAAATGTCCAATAACATGTGCATTCAATTTCAGGGGATTCACGGATTCCTTGAGGTAGGGTTGCTGGATAAAATACGGATGTCCAGTCAAATCTGAATTTCAGATGAACAACAAAGTTTTTTGTTGTTTTTTGAGACAGGGTCTCATTCTGTCACCCAGACTGGAGTGCAGTGGCATGATCATGGCTCACTGCAGCCTCAACATCCTGGGCTCAAGTAATCCTCCTGCCTCAGTCTCCTGAGTAGCTAGGACTACAGGTGCACGCCACCACACCTGGCTATTTTAAAATTTTTTTGTAGAGATGGTGGTCTTGCTATGTTGCTCAGGCTGGTCATAAATAAGTTTTTAGTATAAGCATGTCCCCTGTAATATTTGTAGAAATAATAGATAATTATTCTTTTCTGTGGGGCAGGAATCCTGAGCTTCAAAAGCACCAGCATCTAAGAAGCGATGAAGAATTTGCTGACTGAACTGAATGCATGAGCCAAACTATTGCATGGAACATACTTACATTTCAAAACTATTTGTTTATCTGACATTAAGATGTGACTGGACATTTGTATTTTTTTACTTGCTAAATCCAGCAATCTGATCTTGAGGCCATTCACAGCTTTCCTACTTTCATAGATTATAGAGGAAGAGTTTATATAGACTGAAGAAGATTAAGTGTGTTTCTTTTTTGTGGAATTATTTAACCATTTAACACATAAGTACTAGGTGAAGGGTAAACCGAAAAAACTCTTTCTGCTTCTTTTATATCTCTAAATGTCAATGAGGACATTATTATCGCTGTTTTCAGGACTTACATCATAAGAGTGACTATGAGTTTGATAGTCTCACCAACACTATGGCCAATAATTTCCATGTTAAATTCCTAGAACAGAAAGATGTTACATCAAATTCTTGAAATTGCAGACTTAGAAGATTAAGTTACATAAACAGCAGATGTTCAGGCTGGAAAGGAAAAAAGCTGAAACAAGTACTACCAATTATTCAAAAATCCCCTGAAGCTGCCACTGTAACTCTGGGAATTGGAATATCATTAAGTCCTATCACGGCCATCACTTAGCCTTTTTTCTCTTACTATTATTTGTAATTCCATAATCAAGCTAGCCTTCCTACTAAGTTCTGGGGCAGGAGTTTTCTTTTTTCGGAAATTTTATTTGGATAAAGAAACATGGTCAAAAAGTTAAAACGGTGCAAATAATTACACAAAGAAAAGTAAGTCTCTCTTCTATCGTTACCCCTAGTTCTTGGACAGCGGGTTCTTAACTTGGGTTAGGAACTGCAGTCTAATTCCAGAGGAATGTGAATTTTCTCAATGCATAATTTTCAATGTACAGATAATTTTGCTCGTTTGTGGGGAGAGGATCCAAACTTTTACCTGAGCCTCAAAAGAGTCCGTGATGCAGAGAACCTGCTGAAGTAAACGATGCGCCCGAGTGACTCGGAACGGGGGGTGCAAATATCGTGCAATAATTTGTCCCCTGTGTGAAAAGTCTACCCCTATACACTCCACTCCACTAGCCGGGCACTAGGAAACGACGCTCTCCGGGGGAGGCATCCAGCTCTTCCTAAGTTTTCCGCCCGGCGCATTCCTCCCCTTTGGCGCGTCGGCGTGCGCTTACGTCATGACGCCTCACACGCAGCCCCACCCCTGCAGAGATCCGCGGTGGGACGGAACCTGGGTTTCTCTCAAACCGGGAATGTGAGGCTTTGGCCTGGCCGGCCGCTGTTCTCGGTACCACTTTTCACCCGGGGCTGCGTCCGCTGCCGCGGTTCCTCAGTTCGCCCGCGGAGGCAGGGCAGCCGTGCCTTTTGCCGTGCGCCCGCGTGGCTGCCACCGCCCCTCCGAATCCTCCGGGGCCGCAGAGGGGTTCGCTACGGAGGGAGGCGGGGGCCTTCGGGAGGAGGCGGAGGAGGCGGAGGAGGAGGGAAGGAAGATGGCGGCCGTGGAACTAGAGTGGATCCCAGAGACTCTCTATAACACCGCCATCTCCGCTGTCGTGGACAACTACATCCGCTCCCGCCGAGACATCCGCTCCTTGCCCGAGAACATCCAGTTCGATGTTTACTACAAGGTATGCGCCGTGGGCCTGCTCTCTGCTCTCCGCCCGCAACCCCGGGGTCCGCACCCCCTTCCACGTCTGCGAACCCCCGCAGTTAACCCCTCACCCCTCGCAGTAGGCTTGCTTCCCGAAACGTCTGATGCGGTGGCCGCGTTGCCAGTTGAGAAGCACCCTGTCTCCCCATGCCCTGTCTCTTAAGCTTTTGGGGCCTTGCAATAATCTTCCTGAGGAGTCTTGCCCGCTTTTGGTGTTGCTTTCTACACAGTGACCCTCTTTGGTAGGCCTTTTCCGTGGACTTCCTCTATCGCGCCCCTGTCCCACCTAGTCCTTTCCTTCTAGCTTGTATCTTCAGGATATTTTCCACCCTTTCCTTCCAATTAAGTGTCAGCATAAGCTAGACTTTTTTTCCCTGCTCCTCCCCCGACCCCTTCCTACTTTCTCATCTCACCTCCTTCCTTCCCCTAGTGTTTTGGTTTTTTTGCCTCGTGTTCCTTCATTTCTCCTTTCTTTTCCCAGTTGGGAAGAAGTTAGGGATTATTGGAAATAATCTGTGTGTTTTATTTGCATATTCTTTAAAGCTTTGATTTTTTTGTGGGAGAGGAAAAAGTTTATACTTGCAGTTAAATTAGGAATTTTTGAAGATGGCAGTGCTGATCAACTGTTTGAAGAGGACAGGGAGAGAGATCAAAAAAATACTTTCGATTATGTTCCTGTGTTTGAAAGTTGCAATCTTGCTAAGAATTGCTTCTCAAAAATCTGAACAGAAAGTCTCCAAGCCACTCTCCAAGGAGTTTCAAGGGTAAATGTCCTTAGATGTGAACTATTTTTGCACTGTTTTGAGAGTGTGGAGAACTTTATGAACTCAGAGCCTGCCTCTTCTCTCCCCCACATTTGAATATGAACACTGGATTTATTATTCAGTCCTCCTTGTCTTGAATCCGTGTCCATAAGGCTTAGTCTCCAGTAGCCACCCATGCAAAATGTTACCAGAAGTAGAACGTAATTTATTTTTTAGATCTTAAATACTTCCTCTTGATCTGTAATTTGGCTTTAACAGTGTAAACTGATATTTTAACAAATGTGTATGTTCTTATGTAGGTACGGTTTATGGCAGTTGTTTTATTGGGAAGATTGCCTAGAATATATATATATATATATATATATATTTTTTTTTTTTTTTCAGAATTAGCAGTTGATGGGCTGCATTCTGCTAAATCCAGCTGCTTTGCACCAATTCTAACAATTAAAGTGGAGTTTCCCCCCTAAATACTTGGAGAAGATTCATTTAGGTCATGCATATTATAATTTTTGATTTAGGAAAAAGTTTCCTTTATTCTTAATCCCTTTGATACATTTATTTTCTTCTGTGTATATCTAAGGACATTTTGTTCATTTAAGATACATTCCTCTGCAGGAAGGACAAATTAGATTTGTCTTTCTCAGCCTGGGAGACTGCAACTTTGTGTGTGCTCTCTGTCCATTTTATTAAATCATATGTAATCTTGTACCTCATATGTAATCTCTTCAGAAGAAATTATTGGGAATGTGATCAAAGTATATTTACTAGTTGAATTCGCTCAAAATACTTGAATGTCTTCTAGTAACTTTCACCTCTAATTGACGCTTTTCATTTGAAGACTGTTAGTATGAACAGACGGTGCTTTTGTCAGAATTTCTGTTTGACGTAGTTCACACAGTTTTAATATTGCTCCTTTTTGGTACACTTTTACTTCTTAATAGTTGTATGCTTATTGGGAGTATGGCACTGTGCTAAGATGAAGGCAGATTACATGTGCCTGTAACTGTGTTAAGTGCTTTTATATAGTTACCTTGTTTAATCTTCAGAATTAAACTGTACTTCTGAAGTAGAGTACAGTATTACCCTGCTTTATTGGTGAGAAAGTTAAGTAATTTAATTAAGGTCTTAAGCCTGATATTTAGTTCCTGAGTTCCTTGCTTTTTTACTTAGATACCTATCTTAAGAGAGTAGATTATTTTCGTGAAAGATATTATAACCCTAATTTTTTATTAGCTTCCATAGAAGTAGAGTGAAATTCAATGCCAGGAATCTATTCTAGTTTTTAGTGGAGGTATAAGAAGAAATTATTCTTTTTATTAAAATTAAAAAAAAAAAAAAGAGGTGGGGGTCTAGCTATTTTGCCCAGGCTTGGGGCCTTGAGTTCCTGGACTCAAGTTATCCTCCTGACTCAGCCTACTGAGTAGCTGAGACTACAGGCATGTGCTGCCACACCTGGCTTTTCTTCCTTTTAAACACTGTATTATACAGTGTTTTCTTGTACTTATACATAAGTATAAGAAACTTATTTTGTGTGGAGACAAGATCTTGCTCTGTTGCCAAGGCTGGAGTGCAGTGGTGATCATAGCTCACTGCAACCTTGAACCCCTGGGTTTAAGCAATCTTCCCATCTCAGCCTCCTGAGTAGCTGGGACTACAGGTTCATGCCACCCACACCTAGCTAATTTTTATTTATTTATTTTTCAGTATAGATGAGGTCTTGCTATATTGCCCAGGCTGGAGAAACTTTTTAAAGCAGTATAATTGCACACATAAATATAATATGCTAGTCCTCTGCCCAACTCGTGAAAATTTTAGGAAGCTTTACTATTTACAGTTTCCATTTTTCTACACTTTAAAGCCAAGGAGAAACTCATCACTACATCTTTCTTGCAGTCCAGATTTCCATCAGTAGGCATAGTCATAGACAAAATTGTAGTATTTGTGGAATCATAAATTTCCCCATCTGCTTGTTTGGTGTAGTACAGTATGACTGTGTTAATTTTTGTAATAGCTTCAGATAAAGGCACAGTCATAAAGCATTAGGAGATGGGGTTATGAAATGAATGGAAGGTAAAGAAGTAGGAGTGTTGACTGCTCCATAAGCAGGGGAGGGAGAGAGGAGTTGATAAATAGGGTAAAATATGAAGTATTTCTTCTTTTTTTTTTTATGTAAAGAATGGAAGACATTAGAATATATTTGTTGGCTGCATGGCAGAAACCAAGAGAGTGAGCTTGAATATCCAAATGAGATGGGAAATAAGTTATGGAGCAAGGTCCCTGAGCAGGACCATTAGTTGATGAGTCTTGCCCATTTTTGGTCTTTCCTCCTTCACCATACCTAAATTAAGGTATTATCCTTATATTGGAGTTGGGGAAATAACTTTTCTTCTAAGATCAGAAGGAAATAATTAAAGATATAAAGGCACGGGGCTCACACCTGTAATCCCAACACTTGGAAGGCTGAAGCAGGAGGATCGCTTGAGCCCAGGAGTTCAAGACCAGCCTAGGCAACATAGTGAGACCCCCGCTTCTGCAAAAAAATAGAAAAAATTATCCAGGTGTGATGGTGCATGCCTGTCATCCCAGCTACTTGGAGGCTGAGGTGAGAGGATTGTTTAAGTCCAGGAGGTCAGAGCAGGCAGTAAACTTTGGTTGTGCTACGGCACTCCAGCCTGGGCATCAAAGGGAGACCCTATCTCAAAACAAGTCATTAATATAGATAAGTTTGTAAGAATGATTGTAACGAACTAGGAGGTGAGTTCATTTGCTGAGGATGATTGGTAGTAGTAGTAGCTTTTATGTAGGAAGTCTAAACAGAAGTTGGGAATGGCTACTGAGATGTATGAGAATGAAAGGTGACTAAAAATATGTAAAAGAGGCCGGGCGCGGTGGCTCAGGCCTGTAATCCCAGCACTTTGGGAGGCCGAGGAGGGTGGATCACGAGGTTAAGAGATCGAGACCATCCTGGTCAACTTGGTGAAACCCCATCTCTACTAAAAATACAAAAAATTAGCTGGGCACGGTGGTGCGTGCCTGTAATCCCAGCTACTCGGGAGGCTGAGGCAGGAGAATTGCCTGAACTCAGGAGGCGGAGGTTGCGGTGAGGCGAGATCGCGCCATTGCACTCCAGCCTGGGTAACAAGAGCGAAACTCTGTCTCAAAAAAAAAAAAAAATATGTAAAAGAATTGATAGTTCAGTAAAAATCAGTACCCTACAAAATACAGTCATGTGTTGCTTAATGTCAGGGATACGTTCTGAGAAATGCATTGTTAGGCGATTTCATGCTTGTGGGAACATCGGGAACATCAGAGAGTATATTTACACAAGCATAGATATGTAAGCCTAGATGGTAAAGTCTACTGTACACCTAGGTTGTATGGGATAGCCTCTTGCTGTTAGGCTACAAACTTGTACAGCGTTGTTACTTTACTGAGTACTGTAGGCAGTGGTAACGTAGTAAGTATGTCTGTATCTAAACCAGGGGTGTCCAATCTTTTGGCTTCCCTGGGCCATGTTGGAAGAAGATAAATTGTCTTGGGCCACATGTAAAATATGCTAACGATAGCTGATAAGCTGAGGGGAAAGAAAAAAGGAAAAAAAATCTCATAATCTTTAAGAAAGTTTATGAATTTCTGTTGTGTTGCATTCAAAGTTGTCCTCGGGGCCAGGTGTGATGGCTCATGCCTGTAATCACAGCTCTTCTGGAGACAGAGGCAGGAAGACGGCTTGAGCCCAGGAGTTTGAGACCTGCCTGGGTGAGATAGCGAGACCCCATTCTTCACAAAAAGGAAAAACAAAAAGTGTAACTGAAAGCTGTCCTGGGCTACATGGCGGCCTGCTGGCTGTGCATTGGGCAAGCTTGATCTAAACATAGAAGAGTTACAGTAAAAATACAGTATAAAAGATAAGAAATGGTACACCTGTATGGGGCACGTAACATAAATGGAGCTTTTAGGACTGAAAGTTGCTTTGGTAAGTCAGTGAGTAGGTGGTGAGTGAATGTGAAGGCCTAGGACATCACTGTACACTACTGTAGATGTTATAAACAGTGTATACTTAAACTACACTAAATTACTGTTAAAAAATAAAGTAATTGGACTGCAATGTCACTAGGCAATAGGAGCTTTTCAGTTCTATTGAAATCTTATGGGACCACCTGTATATGCAGTTGGTTGTTGACCAAAATGTTAGGTGGCATGTGATTGTAGTGGC